TGTCATCAATACACATCCCAGCACCTGCGGTGAACCACGTGATCACAGCAGCAAGGTCATCACACTTTCCCCCAGGTCCCTTTGGTCAGCACAACGCGATTCTCTGTTCTGTGGGCTGCTAAATTGCTGGCTTCACAATCCACTGAAGAGTCAATGAACTTGGAGAAAGAAAAGTACGGTCCCAATCCCACCTCTGCTACCCCTTCCGAGCCACTTGCCTGTTCGGGATATTGAATTGACTATAATTCCTCAAATAAAGTAACAGGACTGCATTATTTAAAATTTTTTCTACCTTAACATTATGGTTTTATGAGTCAGATAGAACACCAGTCTCCCAGACTGGGGAACAGAGTGAAGTGACTACAGATACAGGATATTAGAATGATAATTAAGAAAAAAATAAGTTTATTAAATAGTCAGAGCTCCTGCTTCCTAGACAGTGAGGTTTTCTTTCCTGAGAAGGAGGCGCCAGGAGCACAGGAGAGGTGGAGGCCGTGTTCCCTCAGATCGCCTTCCCCAGGGCCATTCTGCTTTGTCTGCAAAGATCCCCCTTCAGGGTTTGCGGCTTGACCTCCAGCACTGCACTGACCTTTCCTCCAGACACGCATTAGCAGCAGGTCCAGCCTCTTTTCCTGGAGGAACCTGAGTATCAATTAAGAGTCTGAACAGGGGTTTAGTATTTTTGTGTTTCAGCCACAATCTTCAAAAACCAGTTGCTCACTCATCCGACAAACTTGCTCAGGGCTACAGTGACCTTCTCCTAAGCTTCCACATTGATTGTTCTAAGAAGCTCCCAACTTGAATTAAAAATATTAAAGTTTTAAATGTGAGCATGACTTCTAAAGCTATTGACTCCTGAAATTAAGTTTCTTCAAATATTCTTAGGAGGGTGTGGCTGGGTGCAGGAGTAGGAGTATATGAGGTAGGGGTCAGGGAGGACGCAAAACGGCTCCCTCCAAAGGTACTGCAATAGAGTTTAACACAGTGTTAAGAATCAACGAGGTGGCAGAGGACTGCGGACTAGCCTCGGCAGGGCAGCAGTTGACAGACCACCTATAGAAGCTGTGTCTTGGGGAAGGAATGTAACTCTTCCAAACCACTGTCTCTGAGGAGTAAATATCCAGAACTCTTCCCTCTAATCTTCAGTTTCTTTGCTTTCCTACCCATGTCTTTCTCTGGCTAAACGCAACCTGAAGAGGACCACAGGACATGGATGGGTCTGGAGGTCAGCCTCTAGGGAACAAAACATGGAGTGGAGAAGAGCAGAGAGCAGACCCAAAGGGGCAGTGGGAGACTGTCCAGTGGAGGGGTGCCTGGGTTTGCAACCTGTGAGATCAGATCTGTCTTGAGAGCAAGTGAAGACTCAGCTATACCGAGAGGTCACTTGGAACTGAGACAAAGTGAAAGAAAGACTGAAGACAAAGGAATGGCCTGGGGAAGCCTAAGTGGGAAACCAGACGCCGAAGCTGGGGACCATCAGGATGACTGAAGGACAAAGGGGCTGAGGAAGACACAAAGGCAGCCCTTGTTTTTCTAGGGAGGCTCTCAGAATTACCAGGCTTCTATCTCATGGTCTCTTTTCAATGGATTTTGACAACCAAGTAGGATTTAGGGTCTTGGGCAGGCTCCTCTGAGGCAAAGCCTATCATATAAAACTCAAGCTTATTTGCAAAGCAATAGTAAAAACCAATTTAAACAGGCTCCATAGTAAGTTTAGCTTTAAAATCTTTTCTCTAATTCAACTTCTATTTTGATCCTCCATTCCACAGAAAATGTAATCTTAGTCATTTCTGGGTAAACACAGTAATTTTAAGATTTAAAATTCTGTCAATTCAGAATTGGCTGTCCCCCTCTTTGTCCTCAGAGTAGCACCTAAGTTTCTAAGAGGGTGTATAACATGATATCTGGGGCTGCCTCTGGGTCCTTGGGAGATGCTCTGTGCCACGCTGGTATCCACGTAGACAGGGAGGTACCTCTGATTCCTGGGTAGCTCTGGCCCTTGGTTAAAGGTTGGTAGATGCTATCTACTCTTTAGCCACTGGAGGCATTTAGGGTCTTGCCAAACAGGGTGTGGGGGACTTGCTTTGTCTACAGGTTTGTCTCCTTCCTCCTGTACCACTGCAAAGTGTTTCTCCATGGTTTTCTATGTTTATCAGATGATAAATGAAGCCTCTACTGTTTGGTCCCCAAGTTTAATAGGGTAGGGTTCTGCATCCATCCTTTCCACCCTACCACAAATACGCACCTGCTTAGCAGACAGAGGGTTGCCTGTCATCTCTAAGAATGTTCTCTGTTCCCCATCTCAGAAGTTCTTCCCTGATCTGGGGAGGATGGATATATTGGTACAGCAGCCATGAGAACTCACTCAGTAAATATTCTTGCCAAATCTTTCATCATGACATCTAGACTTCATCATTTTTAAAGTTAAGAACCAGGAATTAGACATCATTGCTTTCCATTTCTTCCACCAATAACCTTTCCTCTCTTTACAGACCTCATGGTTTCAGCTTCCCACAGAGAAGTCATGGACTTACAGGCACTTACATGGAATGTGTGGATGGCCAGGCACATGACCGATGACACTGTAAATTAGATATAATTGTCTTGGAAGCTTTAATACTTTATTTTTAAACTCCCGTACCCCAGAATATTGTTCTCTTGTGATTTTTCTACAGCTTTCCCTCCAAAGTCTACTTTCATAAAATTATCTGATGAACAACTCTAAGGGAAGGTATAAACGACATGGCATTTAATACAAATTATTCTTTCTATATATATTTTGTGTTAAAACAAAACAAAGAAATTCTGAAACAAAGGAATAATTTTCTATAAAAATCTCAAACTGTCAGTAAGTGGTATAGGCAATGATGTCCTGGAATTCAGGGGAGGTCTTCTGATATATCATTTAAATCATTATATGTCCAATTGCTTTGTATTCATGACCATATTTTTAGACTCCAGAATGAACTACAGTAGGTAATTTTCAAAAGAAAATTGACCTTTGTTATAACATTTCCATCAAACCAGAGTTATGAGAGTATAAGAATCCTGGAAACAAATCTAAATTTTCTAAATTACTTCCAAATTCAGCTACAGTATTTTTCTTTTACTTTTCTGAAAGCATACATAATTTAGCTGGCTAAAAAACCTCTGGTTTACCATTTCCTTGAAAGAAAAGAGAAACCCAGGTTGGTTTTTTTTTTTTTTTATTTGTGAATTTAGACTTTGAACCTGCAGATGGTGCTATGATCACATTTTGAAATTCAGTTTTGCTTTCTGGTTGAAATTCATAGAAAAGAATGTAGTTCTTTGTTTAGTTTTTTTTTCATAAGCAATAAAATTAAATTATGTCTCTTTACTCTTGTGTTTTATTATTATAATGAGAGAGACTGTCTTTGCCGCCTGAAAAATCTACTGTACTCTTTGTGAATGCTATAAGGACTTCCTTAGATCAAATAATGGTCAACTTCTATGTCTTTTTTCTTGTTGAGTTTTCTGCTTATCATCCACTGTTGTTTTTCCTGTGACTCTCAGTCAACTTACTTTGCTGTTGCTGATCTTAAATAAAATTGCTTCACTGAGAATTGGGTGATGAAGAGCTAAGGATAAAAAATTTCCATGTGAGAACCATTTCAACCTCTAGTTTGTAATAATCAGGTAAAAAAAAGATTTCCTGGAATTAAGCCACAGGAACTCTGGCTTAAGTCAGAGCTGTCAACTGGGAAACAAATTTCCAGACATTTTGAAATGTAATTCATTTAATTTTTCTTGTAACTGGATTAGAAAATATGATTAAGCATAGCAGGATATTCTTTTACTGGCTTAGTCTGATTTTGAATCAAGCAAATAGATGCTAAAATCTTAAAGTAGAAGAAAGATGGGGGGCTTTAAGCCATTCTCCCTTGAGGAACTCACAAACAAAAAATGAAAAAGAACGCACACACTAGAAATTTTAAAAAATTAATAAAAGGAAAGATGGTATTTTACTTCTTGTCCATGAAGTTTCTCATGCGTCTACTTTTTCCCCTTATGTCTGATTGAGTATATGCAAAAGTACCAAGTAGAAAAACCCACAGGTAGAAATCAAGTATTAATAAAGTACTCAATAAATGTTTTTGAACTAGTTTTTTGAAACCTGTCAAGTGACTAAGTTAGAAATGGTCAAAAGCTGCTGTTTGTTCAGGTCTGGAGAGGGGAAAACAACATAATTCCACATAGTGCCAAGGACATACAAATGGTGAAAATTTCTTGTTTTAGAAAGTAAGAGAGATTGAATCCCTAGAGGTATACAGTCTGATCATTTGTTGTTTGGATTATTTGAGGTTACCTATATGAAGATGCATTGGGAATTATGACATTCTATACACATGTGAAATAGCCACACTACTACTTTATATAGTGATGTGTATATTATACATCTCAGAGGCTTTCTGAAACTTGACCATGGGATTATTTTCAACATAAAGCAAATGGAACAATAGAGAGATAGATAATTATTCCTAGATGCTTTTAAAGTTAGGTTAGATCTCAAGAAAGAATAAGTCAGAATCATCCTGAATAACACAAGAATAAAAGAAGGCTTCAGGAGAAGTTTGTGTTAAAGGAGAATTATACATTTGTATGCATAATGAACAGAAGTGTTTCTTCCTTTCTGTATCTGTTCCTGCACATAAAATTCTTATTCTCTGAAGGAACCCCAGTGCCCTGCCTATAACACTAATCATTCTCTTATTTCGTTACTACTAAAGATTAAAACATCTCCCATGAAGCTTGGTACTTTTTTTGTTTAAAGAAAAGTACATTTCCTCTCAACATCTTACATCTTGAAGTTACTCACTATCAATTTATATAAATCAGATATAATGACAATTAAATAAGGACTTCAAGCCCTATTCGTCCCCTGGGAGTACTACTGTGACGTCTTTCAGAGAGCTCTGTGATTGCTCAGCCCTAAGCATAAGCCCTATAAAATGATGGGCTTTGAAATGCTGGTCAGGAGAGAGTGAAAAGCAGTTGCCAGCAGTAGCAGCCATCCTGTAGCCAGCACCAGGTTGTGGTTCAGGTCTCAGGGAGGGAACCGGGGAGCCTTCCTCTGCTTTGCAGCACTTGAGCAGCCAGGACAGCTCCCACATTCTTCAGAACAGAAAACTCCTGAGGAACACTATTCAGCGAGGTAAGTGAAAACTTTGTCCTCTTTCATTGTCCTCCCCCTGCCTCTTGGAGTCATCTCAGGGTGTACTGAATTTTTCTCTTTTGAAAGTGGTTTAGTAGTTTAGTGTTCCTCTTTGCTGTCTTTACCAAAAAGACAGACTTCTCAAGTCTTCTGGTGAGTATAGAAATGTCTCAACTTCTCATTTAGGAATGGATTTTCTGAATTATTTTGGTCCGAAGATGTTTTCCCCTCCTTGCTCTTCTACTCAATACCGTTTGTTTTCATAAATAATGTATTAAAGTAGGTTTTTTTTGCTTGTGTATAAATTTTTGACTGAAGGATTCAGTGGGTATGTTTGCTTTGAGGTTCAACATCTTTTTTTAGTGTTGTTTTTTCTGTTTCATGTGTTAGTTCTATGAACCTAGGAGATATTTGTTTCCCTCTTTAATTTAAAAGCTGTGATTTTTAATAGAAGCAAAATAAACAAACTTCAAATTCCTGGGTTTCTATCAAAAACCTACTTAGAAATGAAATGTGTAAGTGGATTAGATGTAAAAAGCACAAGTTTTTTAAAGCATATTTTCCCCTTAATGGCAAAAATTATTTCAGTGGTAATATGTGGTTTAATGGTTTTTTGGTATTAGTTTTCACTAATAATTGGTTTAAATTGTTCAAGTTCAGGCATAAGGAAAGAAGTTCTCAATAATATCAACAATTAAAAGGGGAAAAAGGAAAGTATATGCAAATAATTTTCATGCTGATATGTATGTGAACATATCAGTATGAAACACACACACACACATACATACCTATAGAGTCAAAATTAAATAGATGATGCTCCAGTTTTATGTTAATCAGATTTTGGACACTTATCATAAAAGAAACAATCAGTTTCTTGAAGCTCTTCCCTTAGAAAAGACACTAGACATGGATGCTATAACTATCATATAAGATTGTCCCCCTAGTTACTTTCAGCACTATAAAAGTTCGGCATTCAACATCTATTTGGGCCAACTAGTGAGAGACAGGCAGCTGCTGAAAAAGATCCTAGTTTTTATTCAAGCTTGTGTCACTAAGAAAAATCTTCTTGATTTAAAGAACAATGATATTGCATTTTAACTCTTTCTATAAGGCAAAAATCACCTTTTCCAAACTCTGGAAGAGCCTTCAGATACCTGCTGAACACTCAGAATTACCTTGCTGGTGACATCTGTGGCTAGAAAAACTGATGTGATTCTTTCCCTTTCAAGGTCCAGAGATGGAAACCAGAAGGAAGCCCCAGCTCCTTGGGCTCCTGACACTTTTCATTGTGTTCTCACAAACGCTAGCATGGCCTCTTTTGGGAGCACCTACTGCTTGGAGGTAAGTTCTTCAATTCACAGGTGAACATTCCTTCATCATCTATATAGGAATTCCGTATGTTATTTTGGACAACTCAATTTTTTTAAATTATGTATTATTTATTTAAATTACTTGCTTGCTATGGTAAGCAAGTTTCCTTTTCAGTATCAGGTCAACATAATTATTCTACAACCTGGAATTCATTCTCAGGACCTAATAGACAGCGTTAATGACTAGTTTTATGGAGAGGGTGGATCATATTCACAAAAAGTTAGACGGAGGATTTGGCTTTCCTATCATTCAGTAAGTTTCAAATAAGTAACAAGCTTTTATCCCATATTATCTCAGTTCAGTTCACTTTTTGATGAAAAAATAGATGTGTAGTTGCCTATCTCATTTTAGTTAATTTTCAAGATCAATAGGTAAATGATCATAATGTTAGTTGTTTGTTGGTAAAACATGCTTACAACCATGTTGGGCAGATCTATCCATCTAACCAGAATGAACTTGCCAATATTCTAAGCTGTAGGACACTGATCTACTGAGAAGACCCCCCCAATGAGTGAATTTTAATGTACTTGATTTTAACCATAAAACCTGAGTTTTATTCTTCTTTATATTTCATATTTCAAATTCATAGATTATAACAATTCATATTTAAAGCTTCATCTGGAGTAAATAAATTTATACTAAAGAAGTAAACAGCAAATGAAGACTACATTAGAGTTTTCCTTTCAGTTTATAGGCACCACTATTTCTAAGGGCAAAATCATCATTTTTTTGCTGATTTTTCCCATTCCTGATTCTTTACTCAAGGTAGTCTTATGCTCAATAGAGTGAATAATCTCTTAGTTGTGCACGTTCTATGTTAAATCTGTTTAAAGCCAGATTTTATGTAGCTTTGATAACTAAATAGAGTGATTCTATCTGCATGGTTCTATCACAACAGATGGGCAATCACACGATTGCTGAAGTTTGCATGGATTGCTAGGTTTCATACAAAGATGACAGCTTATTGCTCACCATCAAATACTCTGTCACTAAAAGACACACAAGCACACAAGTGCCTAGGAGCAGACATACCCCTAAGAGCAAAAATATACACACTAATAATTTTAATAGTGTGTTGGTGTTCAAAATGTGGTTGCACTCACAAATAGAATCATATTTCATGCAGAGGCATAACTATTCTTAGTCTTCCAATAAAGCATTGTACATCCTACATTAGTATTGTTTTAATATATGAAATTAGAAACCAGAAGCTCATACAAAATGTATTGAATTTGACTAAGTATTCAGAGATGGAGAAATTCTTTGGATTTGATTATACAGAGAACTATGTCACATCACAGTGAATCTCAGAAGTAAAACTTAGAGACTTGGAGAAAGAAAAGCAGTTAGTACTCAGCTCTTGAGAAATGTTTGAGACAAATGGTACTAAACATCAACAAATACATGAATTTCTCCAAGATTTCATAAAGAACATTATATTTTTTTCAGTTTCTATTTGTGTAAAATCTATCTGTGAAATTTAACTTTGCAAAGTGAAGATATTACCAAGGAAGTATATTTTGCTTAATGCTCTGGTAGGTTGAACTAAGTGGTCCTTGTGCTTGATACATACAGCTTATAAAAGTTGTATTGCTTCTATTTTATGTGATAATCAAAAATTTCACTGTTTTATATTCATAAACCATAACAGCCATTAAATCCAGTTATGCTATCCCCATATTGTGAATGGGTGATACTTCCAAAGATTTTGAGGGTCTTATTTCAAATGATTGTAAACTCGTAAGCACTATCTTGTGAGAAATGAATGTATTATACTTGTACTGTATTTTTTTCCCAATAGGTTGGATGACAGACTACCATTTGAAGAAGCAAATGAACCTGATCATATTTCATTAAAAGCAGACACTGACATCCTGCAGAGTGCATTAGCTGAAAATGATACACCCTATTATGATGTATCCAGGTGAGTTCATTTTCATTGAGTAGTACTTTAGAAAATACATATTCGACATATCAGTGTTTTATTTTTCTATCACCATGGAGCTATTCCTACAGCACAATACTATAGGTTTCCATGTATTACGGCTCAATTCAGCCTGATGTTTTGCAGCTCTTGCAGCTGTAGAAATCTGTAACAAGCCAGGATGAACAAATCATTCATTTACACTCTGTTGCATAAAATTTCAACACCAGAAATTGTACCAATTCTAGTGCACTATAACATTTAGGATTCCATGCTTCAGTGGGGAAGTGTTAAGGCAAGAGTTTCATCTCCACGGAAAGATAAATAGCTAAAAATAAAGGCTATCATTTCACAGGACCATTTCTCTAGAACAGCATTCCCGTGTATACAGAGTAACTCTATACCGAAGACAAAGTATAAAAGTTCCTCATTTGGATGGAAAAGTTAGTTTATAGGCCCTATGATCCTCTCTACCTTAAGTCTACCTGAAGTTATTTTTTTTCCCAAATATTTTGGCAGAAGAGCAAAAGCTATCATAGGGTTTTTTCCTAATATTAGGGTAATTTCCCCTTCATATACTGTTATTCAGGGTAGAAGAAATAAATCAATAGAAACTAATGTAAATATATTTTTCCCACCAATATTTCTTAGAAGAAGAATTCGTTTTACAGATTCTACCAGGGAACATTATTTAATATTGATATATACTTCTAAAAAAGCAAATTTCTTTAATTTTTCAAAGTTTTGGGCTGGAAATACAGAGTATATCTTGATATAAGTGGCCAGAAAATATCTTTCATTAGGTTGTTAGGAAACCTCCTTTTGGACTTCAGTTTGTATGAAGTGCTTTCAAATAAGCTAGTAAGTGTCTTTTTTCTTTAATGAGCCCAAACAGTGTTTTAGAAAACCATTTACAAAACGATGGCTATCCTTTGCTCCTTGTTTCAGGAATGCCAGACATGCAGATGGAGTTTTCACCAGTGACTTTAGTAGACTCTTGGGTCAACTTTCTGCCAAAAAATATCTTGAGTCCCTCATTGGAAAACGAGTTAGGTAAAGAGAATTTATGATTTTTATCAAACATGTTATGATCATTTAATTTGCAAATTATATCTTCACTGTTAACACTTTACTTACTTTGCTCAAAATTGATAACTTTTGGCAATGTTCAGTTTGCTTAAGAAATAATCTAAATTCTTTAATAAAATTTACTAGGCCCATGGATTGAGAAAATAAGCCTTTCTAGTAATATCATACTAGATGTACATATTTTTCTTAAATAGAAATCATTTATAAATCTGCCATCAAAAGGAATTAGACACAATAAGAAACAAATGATATACAGTATAAATTGATGCAAATTTTAATGTTAACCTTAATAACTGTTTTTGTTTCCTTCTCAAAGCAAACACTGGAAGATTCTTTAAAGAGCCAGTAGCTGAATATTTAGATAGCACTGTTCAGGGTGGCATTGCTTCTAAAGGAGCATTTATTTCTAAAGAAGCTTTCCTCCTAACAGCAGAACACGACTTCAATAATCCCAACTTTTTTTGGATAAATTATTTGTTGAGTTACTACAGAATGTGTCTTAAGTCACTCCTGGTAAATAGCAAAATATGTTGGATTTTTCCTTGCTCCCCATTCTTAAGCTTAGATGTATTTTTCTTTTAGTCCTTTTGTGATAGAAAACAAGGGAGTGCTGGAATTCCTTTAAGTCTGACTGCAAGAAATTTGGAACTTTGGCACATTTATCGTTTCTTGTTAAAAATCCTTTGGTTCCCTTTTCCTTGCTGTCCTGCACAACAGCATCTCAGAAGACCAGGGACCAATCAAACGCCACTCGGATGCTGTCTTCACTGACAACTACACCCGCCTTCGAAAACAAATGGCTGTAAAGAAATACCTGAATTCCATTCTGAATGGGAAGAGGAGGTAAAGAAACAGAGAACTTTCTAAAATGAGAAATAATACATGATTTTCAAAGTAGAAGCTGCATATGGAGACTTATCTATCTAACTCTATCCCACTCTCTGTGAAGCAGTAATTTTCAACCTTGCCTGACATTAAACTACCCTTGAGAATTTTTAAACTACTGATGTTTGGGCCTTAAAATTTCCAGGAGATTAGTGTGTAGCCATCCTAGGAATATGACCCTGGATATTGGTCCTAAGAACTTCCCAGTTGATTCTGCTGTGCCTCCAAGGTTAAAAATGATGACTGAAGAGACATTTGAATCTGGGAGCAGATTTTCTCAAAAGCACTAATTTTATTATTGAAGTAAAATTGATGTGCAATATCACATAGACTTCAGGTGTACAACATAGTGATTCAACAGTCATCGACATTACTAAATACCCTGATTAAGTGTGGTTACTATCTGACAGCATACAAAGATCCCCCTTAAAACACATGTACAGTGAAATTAATTGGCCATTGGGTACCACCCAGAACTCCCTTCATGTGCCTATTCAGTACCCTTATTTAACCAAATTAAACCATAAATTCCTTTGTGTTTTGATGGTCTGGAAAACCTATGTGTCCCTATGGTGTGTAAATACTGGATCACAATATAGGAGTTGGCGTGCTCTCTCTTTTTATTCTAATTATTTTTGTTTAGGTGGTGAGTATTGAGGACAGTCTTGTTTTGGGTGAGATCAAACAAGATGACTCTCTTTGCCCACCAGATTATAATTCTGTAAGGATAATTTTAGAAATTTTAAGATTGAGGAAAAATTCATAAGTAACAATTAACCTCTAAGGTAATTGCTTAGCCTTCAGTGCACTTTACAGAGCACAGAGAACAGCATAAATCACACATCATCATTTCTTTAGACACTTTCTCATCTAAGAGGCTTGACATACCATTTTCTTTTCTGGTCTGCAGCAGTGAGGGAGCATCTCCTGGCGTGCCTGAAGAGTTAGAAAAATAATGAGAAAGCTCATTGGAGCAAAGCTGCTGACAACTTCCAGTGGTATGTATACCTCTGCTTTCTTATTATATTATAGCAAACATCTAATTATTTGAGTAAGTAAGAGCCACTTGGTAAGGAGCACCCTAGCACTCTCACAAAGTGTAGGTACAATGACAGTATTCACTGTATGATATTTGCTTTTACATACACATGGATACAAAACCTATTCCAGTCTAAGGACACCTCTCCCCGAAGCAGACCCCTACCTAGTTAAGCAGCCTAAAATGATTAATGCAGTGTTCTAGTCACATCAAAATGAGAGCTCACAGTGGGCAGTTTACTGTCTGACTGGTACTTCCAGTTTACTCAGACTTATTCCTATCCATCTGTCCAGACATAAAACAGAGGAAAGTGACTCACACTAATGAGAAAAACTAGCTTTCTTTTTGAGTCTCAGGCCATGCTGCTTTTATTAATTGAAGGTGTAGTCCCATGATTGACTGTTAACACCTTATTTATTCTAAGTACAGGGAAATACCACTTAATAACAGTGAGGCTCACTATAATATGGAAATGCCAAGGAACCTTGGGTCTAATCATATTTCCTGAAACATGGTAAGCTTCATGCAGCAAAAGCCTAATTTAGCTTATTTTACCTATAAAGTTAGTGTATGTATAATGACAACAGTATTCACTGTATGATATTTTTTAAATAGAGAAAATATTAAAAGATTTTCTCCTTTGTTAAGTGATAAGCTTGTTATCACATTTGTTTTTACATACACTTGGATACAAGACCTATTCCTCTCTGAAGTTGAGTGAATATTTACATTCATTCATGAAAGTATATTTGTAACACTTGGCAAGTGCTTCAAGAAATTTTATGCCATCACTATATAAGAAGTTGGCAAAATTTATTTTACCTAAAGGGCTACTGGGTAAATATGTTTGGCTTGTGGTCTATGGGACTTCTACTGCAACTACTCAATTTTGCTATTGCAGCATGAAAGAGCCACAAATAATATATAAGTCAGTGGGAATCACTATGTTGCAATACAATTCTATTTGTATAACTGAAATCTAGGCTGCATTGATTGCCACCTCTGACTAGGTCAAGGAGACTAAACAAGACTCCTGCTCGGACTGAAGCCAATTCATGGTCTTACTTCAGTTCCTGGAGCAGATATCCAAGGTTTTCATGAAAATCACCAGGTGTGGACAAGGTGTCTGAAAAGACACCTGGCCCATTAGTTGCTTTTGTCCACTGATTGATTAGCCTTCTCTTCTACGAGAGATAACCTGGTCAGGGTGCTACATATGCCCATTCCTGATCAGGTATGGATATTTCAGAGAAACAAGTCCATTTGCTCAAAGAAAAAAGTTAATTACATATTCCTTTTTGAAAAAGTGTTTACAAGAAGGGAAAAAAATAGAAAGAAGAAGAAGGCTCCTCCACTAAATTAAGAAATACAAAAGGCACTAAAATATAGAGGATTAATGACTCTAATTTGTAAATTGTCAGATCATTTAAGAGATTCTGTCTCCCATTCTTTTTTCTTATTTGAATGGGTGACTTTGGATACATCTTTTTTTTATAGGAAATCCTGTGGTCACCCATTCTTGAGAATTACATATAGGGAAATATTAGTGATTAATTAGAGAGCCCCTTCATATTCCAGTTCCCTTCTGACAATCAGTCCTTAGGGAAATGCCCTCTTCCTATTCTAGAACATGATCTCTTGTCACAGGCCAATGACAAGGAGTAAAGGGAAATAGATGTTTATGAAATGGGTGGATGAATGAATGAAACTGAGATGTGGTAAATTCAGATATTTATATGCTTAAAACACCAATTCTTTCTTTTTTCAGAATTCATGAAAGAAAACAATAGAAGTAATTTATTTTGAGTTCTACATAAGTAATTCAAGAAAACAACTTCAATATCAAAACCAAATAAAATATATTGTGTTGTGAATGTTGTGATTTAATTTATTCTAATGTAATAACCGTGATGTTTACATTGTAAATACTGTTTGAGAGTTCTAAGATTTGTCTTTAACTCATGAGAATCCTGTAATTTCATATGCTATGTATCCCTTCTAACACAGTATATGTAATGATAAGTAAATACTATGTTAATTAAAATTACATGAAGCTTTTTGGAAGGGTAGTAATAGAGCACAATTGTGTTTATTTATAGAGCATACTTAACTATTCAGAAGAGTGCAGCAGAACATTAGTGTGTCTGAATTTAAATGTTAAGCAGATGGAATGCTGTATTTAATAGATCTCAAAATGTCTAAAAGAATGTGAATGACAATGATATTAAGACATCTTCAGAAAGATTTTCAGAAAATGTTACGTATTTCCATATATTTTAGGCAACCTTAATTTTGAATGAAATTTATAATTTCTCAAATTTGGATCCCTAATTGCCAAAAGTTTTCCTTTGCTCTAGAGATACAGTGAACATGAATGGCCTCTTTTTCTGACATTGGACCTTTTCTTTATGCTTGTGTTAAGTATGTGTAAAATGTAAAATGAATGGAACATTTGTTTTTCAGTAATAAATACTTTTCCCATCATCACTCAAATAATGCTTTGGTCATAACAGCTTCCTTTAGTGAAAATACATATGGAGACACAACTATTTTTCCAAAATGATAATAAAAAATTAAATATAGAAAATAAAGACCTTTGAGTATCATTGCAGACACTTTCTATTGTTTTGATTCTTTTAAATGGTATGGCAGTAGCCTATTTTAGCTCCAAAGTTCCAAGTATTACATAATTTCTGTGATGTTTGGGGTAGGATTATGTTTGAATTTGCGTAAGTCCTAAGATAACAGTGATTTTAAAAAGAAGGAAGTTTATTTCCCACATATGGCCAGGTGTCAAATGTCAAGGGTTAGTATGATGGTTTTGCCCCATGAAGTCCTCAGAAATCTAAACCCCTTCTAGCTCATGCCTCCTCTCCTAGGACATGGCCTTTCTCTTCATGACTCAAAATAGCAGCTAGAGTTCTAGCCATCACATCTGCTTTCTAGGCAGCAGGAGGGAAGAAGGGGTGCAAAGAGCACATGCTCATTTTGTTTTAACTGGTATGCTAACATACCAAAATTAAGAAAATGTTGCATACATGAAACAGGAATCTGATGCAGGAACAGAGAGGAGAAAAACCTCTTGGACTTTACAACTACCTAAATTAAAATAAAATTTAATGGAGGAGTGGTATGTCAAAATCAAGCAAATTGCCTAAAACATGAGAGATAAATTTAGAAATTGAAAATGATTCATAAATAATCAGTACAAGAAGTCTTGCATCTGATAAGTAGAAGTTTCAGAAAAACAAAGTGGAGAAAATGGATGGGAGAAAAGAATCAAAGAAGTATCAGAAAAATCATTTTTATCTTCCCTAGAGTGTCCTTCACGTGATATCTTAGCACACGTCTATTTTATTCATCAGTGAAGGCATATTGTATCTGATATTAACTATCCTAGAATGTCTAATTACTTTGTTGAATTGGTCAGTTTAGGACTTTTTTTTTTGAAGGACATCAAGGTTTCCCCAATAATGAGTTAGAAATGTCCAAATGAACTCTTAAAATGTTTTCAGACATTCTTAAGCATGTTTTTATTTATAAACCTTTGAGGGTGATAAATTCAAAAATTTAGTTTTCTAGCATCTCCATAAGATTTAAAGTGAATTTATCCAGCCTAGTAAACAAAGTTGCATCTTTTCTTCTATAAATTTTTATGTTAAAAGCTATATATTTATTAATATTACTAAATACTATATTACTGTTACTACCACATGCACCCAGACACGCACACTGTTTCTGGGTTTTAGAAACAGGAACTCTTATCCTACAGGATATTTCAAAGATTGAGACTAAGAAGTCTATAATATCTATCAATTCCTGAGAACCCTTGGAGCTGCAATTTTTAGTATACTCCAATTATTTGTTTACCTATTCTTATTTGGTGTTCCAAACTCAAATAGTACCTTCTCTGGTTAACTGATGGCAGCTGCAATTGTTTGAAAGGAGAGAGAGGGAAAGATACATTCAAAGCATTTGCCTTTTCACAATTCTCTGCGAACAACTTTCTCTCTCTGACTATTAGAGACAAAACATTTTCTTGGTCCTTCTCTTTTGCCCTAGGTAATTGCAAGTCCCTTGCAAGATGCATCTCTTTTCATACTTCAACTTTTCCCATTTTTCTCCCCACACAATTGTGCTTGTTCTTTTTCTTTTCCTTGGAAACTTGCCCTGGTTTCATAATTTTGCTTCTTTCTCTCTTGCTCTTCTGTTCTCTATAGAGTTCTGGGTTCATTCACTTGGGCATCTTGCTCAGCCTCTTGCCTTATTCATATGTCAACCTCATTTGTTCCAGGGACAGACAATTCATATAGATCTCCCCAGATTTCTTTTTTTGTCTTTAGATCTTTCTTTCCCTTAGGACTTAGGCACACAGGTGACATTTGTTAAGGTATATTTCCTAATTTACATTTCATTTATCTTTCTGCCTAAACAACATAGAATCTTTGAGCTGTTTGTTGCCATTGCATTTAGGGTTACACTGTACTAGAGGGAAATAACTATGCCATTATCTTAATTTTCACTCCAAAATCATTTTCTCCTTACCTTGATATTTAAACAGATAAGGAAATTTTAGAAACAGGAACTCTTATCCTACAGGATATCTCAAAGATTGAGACTAAGAAGTCTATATCTATCAATTCCTGAGAACCCTTGGAGCTGCAATTCCAATGGCATAGTGAACCAATGGGCAAGTTCACTATGGATTTAGTGTGACCAAAGAAAATGACAGCAAAACGTTCTTGGGGTGAAAGGGTTATACCCAACTTTATTTCCACGGTGGCAGGTCAGTCACTAGAATCCCATTCACTCAGAGCAAGTCTGCATGCAGCAGGCCAGTCTCTGCCTGCACAGCTGTCCTCTGAGCCTCTGTCCTCAGTGCTGCCACCAGTCCTGCCTCTGCTCTGCTCTCCAGCAGCCGTGCCACTGTGTCACCCAGAGCACTGGGCGGAGCTCCTTATATCGAGTCAATAGCAACACATTGCCCACACATGTGCCGTGAGCTAGCCAACCAGGCCAGGTGAGAATCCTGGCCACAGGAACTCTCATTTTATCCACACCATATCTTGTAGACTTAAGATTAAAGAGATAGAGATTTGGAGCAGCAGGCATATGACAAAAAAAAAAAATTATCATAGAAGGGTCAATCTGAAATTGTGTGCAGGTAGTGAAGATAAGACTAATGGAGTAGAATTGAGAAAATTCCCATTTTAAAGTTTTAGCTCTTGCTGAGCAGCTGCTTAGAAGGGAGTTAGCCAGAAAATATATTTGCAAAGTAAAGGCAAATGGTAAATAAATGGTGATAGCAAAAGTACAGTTCAATGTGGGGGCTATTACAATAATCTCATTTAAAGCATTATGACAAAATTACAAAATGATTTTTAAAAATGAAATATGTGAGTATTTATTTCCCTAGTTGAATGTCATTTACTAAATTGTGGGATATATTGTCAAGATGTGTATAATTAGGAAAAATATTTGGAAACTGAATAACAATACAACTCATTTGTATTGAAGTAATATTATATTGCATCACATTAATTCATTAACTCATAATGTGTAAAGGTAATTTCAAGTTTGTGCCAAAGTTCACAATTTCTTTGGGGAAGAAATGCCTAAGAATAATGATAAGATATGTATTGGAACAAATAATAACATAGAAATAGCTTATTTGTTCTGTGTCCCATGATCTCAGTGAGGTCCTAATGACAGCGGCTAAATGGATACAATGTCTTCCACATGTTAGCTTAAATAAACCAGAAAATTAGTGCAATTACTCACTGTGTTTGGGATAAGCAAAACAGTGAATTGCTGATTCTTCCTTGAAGTCGTTTTCATGAGAAGGAAAACATGACTCTAAAGAGAAGGATGATTAGCAAATAACATCTGTGGGGAAAATGGAAGTTCCTATGACCAGGATCCTTACCTGACCCTAACCTACTTGATATAATTGGCCTACTGGTAGACTGATGCCTCCACAGCCATAGGCAATAAGCTATTGTTGACTGAGTCACTATATCAAGATTACTCTGGGTGGAGGCAGAGACAGAGGTGGGTTACGGACCTGCAGACTCCTGGATGCAGATAGGATTCTAGTGCTTGACCTACCCATGGGAGAATAAAGCCGGGTATAAGCCCTTTTACCCCAGACCATTCCACTGTCATTTCTCAGTCTCACTGAATCCATAGTGAACTTGCCTGGGGCTGAAACCCTCAGGCAAGATAACATCCAAGTGTTCTCTGGCTTTCTGGATGCTGGGGAAGTGCTAGCCCATTGAATGGAATGGCTTTGAAGTGTAAAGACGACTGTTTTGGGGACCTCTCTTTTCTATAACTTCTAATGTCACTATACTTTAATATATATCCTCCCTGGGACCCAGAACCTCATACTTGGATTTGACAATGAAGTATCAGAGTAGACCTCACAGAGCCTGTTACAGAGCCACAGTGAACTTCATGCCAGAGCAACCTGAGTGCCCACGTATAATTTGAGCATGCACGTCATGGGCCGATGCGATTTTAGTGCCCACTTTACTTTTGCCTGCTTCAGGTGTTGAGGTCCTATAAGAAAGAACAGAGGCCAGCTTTCCCCACTGACTCAAGGAGTTGTGAGGACATCAATCTCGTTGCCTGGAATGCACAAGAATACTTTAGCTTCAGGACATTGAAACTAATGTTTGGGAACTGTAATGCACATCTACAGCCATGGGGCAGTCGAGAAGCAAGATTAACTTTTCCAGGAATCAGATCCTGAAGGTATTAAAGCGAGAGTCTGTTAATATCAGGGCTACCCCCTCAGGGCCCTTCTGCACCTCAGAACTGCCTGACTCAGGGCTTGTATTTGGTCTTTCTTGGCATACTGACCTTTCTCTCATCCATTTGCCATCACAGGGCCTCAGCTCAGCTCAGAAGGGGACTGAATGGCCTCAAGAGCCTGCCCCAACCTTGGTCAACAATTCCTTCCTGCACCAGCACCACACTGCAGAGATCAGTTGCTTACAGTTTCAAACCAATGATCAACTGAGGGACAGAAATAACTCTTCCTGGTTCCAGTTTAACTAAAACAAAGAATATTGGCTCTTGGCATTTATTTTTTCCTGAAACACAGCTATGGATTCCATGCTTTGATTTCCCAAATTTCTTCAGCTGTTTCTCACTTGTTATGCCAGAAATGCTGGCAAGAAAATCACAGAACAGGATTTGGGGTAAAGAAAATTATCAGTGAAAGTAGTTCATGTGTGAAATGTGTAATTCAGCTAGATAAAAAGGAATCCAATCTCAAATTGTAACCATGATTCAGGGCACAAAAAATGGTTTGGGAATTTTGGATTATTCAGCTGGAGTTAATCCTGCTCTATCTCATTACAATGAGCTCATTTCAATTCATACATCACTAGAGACAAAATTAAAATCAAGAGGAGATATGTGGTAAATGGGACACTAAAACTATTTTAAACATATGCTCTAACTATAGTCAAAATTCAGTGT